GTCAAATGGATCCAGACACTGAATGAATGGAATATGAGGTCAAATGGACCCAGATACCGAACGAATGGAATATGCGGTCAAAGAGGCCAGGTTCCGATACTGAAAGAATAAGGTAAATATCGTATTTTCTTTGTTTCAGAAATCTGTGCAGACGTTTGGTCAGGGCATAAATGTCTTAATCTTCACGGATCTGGATGGTGTTACAAGAACCCCGAGCTGATGAAAAGCTACTGTAAGAAAACCTGCAATGCATGCAACGGTTCAGGTAGTGTACCTCACCTCTCAATTACAGATAAAGTGACATCTAAATATTGCGCTCTGATTACCAAGTCTCACTCAAATTTCATTGGATGTACGACCGAGAAGCAAACTGTTGCATATGTCGAGGCACATTGACCAACTAACTGTTTGGATAGAGTTTGCAAAACGTTTTTGGGTATTCATGAGAGATGAGGCGGTAAGCCGTATGGGATGGGCTCTGAAATCGTATAAGAACATGCGTAATAGGTAAATTACGAGCCTTTTATGAAACGACTGAAGAAGAGGGCCAATAGGCCTTTCACAACTTCAAGTCGCGTAAAATAAGTCAGCTCAACTAGAAACCGTGAACAGCTGTTTCGTCCTGTATTGGGCCTCGTCAGCACGGTATGTGTATCTCAGTAGTGAGCTGGTAGAATCTTACGAAAAAGTAGTAGTGGATATGGCTTTTTCAAGTAATTTTTCGAGACGAATCTCAAAGGAGAAGTTAATGCGATTCGAAAAAGATAAAAATTTATCGGTCCCCTGAAACAAACTCCAGGCTGATTAGAGTCAGCGCACGGCTAACTTACAGGTCCATTGGCAATTTGTATGTTAGATTATATGGAGGAAGAAAAACCAAGAACCAGGAGAAAAAAACTCGAATCAAGGGAGAGAATCAAACTCTACTCATATGCATGTGATACATGCTCAGTCTAGCATTTGTACCCAAAGTCTCTAGGGTTTTAGGTGATGGTTTATCAATTCTTATTAAGTTCCCATTTGTATTGATATTCATTATTCACAGGGAACTGCAATGACTTAAACTTGCACTGTTCGTTCTGGGCAAGCAGGGGAGCTTGTCAAAACAATCTTGCAGTCATGCAGAGAATCTGTAGGAAGAGCTGCAAGTTATGTTAAATAAGGTAATATTGAAATGGAATTGATTTTTCCCCCGTGTCATCCGACGCTACTAATGTTTTGGCTTTCCGTTTAATCAGAAAACAAAATACAAGAAACTTCTTCATATACATGTTAGTAAAATTATATTAAAGTTTCCCGAAGTTTGTAGGTAATCCAGACATTTAAAAAGAGCTATATTAGCATTATTTTTTTAGTAAATTTAGAGTTTTAGAGTTTATTCTATGATATTTTTTTCCTTTTTAGGAAATTGGCCCAAACTAATAGACCGACGACGAATTTGGATGATTTCTAAATTTCAACTCCAGACGTCCAATGCAGATACCCTACTGGGATTAATACGGGTGTTGGGTGTTGGGAAAATCGTTAAAACTCATTCAAACTATATAAACCGGATTTTGTTGTTTCACTATGGTACAGAATTATCAGTTCTAATAAAAGTGGAAATCAACTCGTTCTCACTTCAAATATCTTTTTTCTTTTTTTTTTTTTTTTTTTTTAACCCCTGAACAAACTGAATATATCTGGACTAACTTACAGATGGAACCCCGAAACAACTTCTGGCTGTTCTATAGGTCTGGCCATGGCAATCTCACAGTCCGAATTCTGAACGATCTCTAGACTGACCTGAGTCAGTTCACGGCTAACTTACAAACTGGACCCTAAAACGACCTCTGCTGATCCAAGTCGCGACACGCCTGACTCACAAATCTAACTTTCCCTCAATAGTTTTAATATTTCTATATATTTTTTATTTTCATGTTGAATGAAATATAAAATGGTATAGTAATGATTAAAATGTAAATTACACACCGTGAAAAGATGAGAAAACTTACAGACGCTAGTCCTTCATCGGAGTAAAAGAGTTTTTAGCTAGTTATCTCTTCTTATAAAAAAGTATACACCTACTTGCAAGAACGTTGTCATACGAAAATAGAACATAAGTGATATAGTGGGATAGGAATTATATTAACAAACAAAAGAAGATCACTGAAGCTGAACTTTTTCTTTTGTCTTTTAATGAATTCCTTTCTCACTAAATTACAAATGTTATATTTTTGTATGAAAACCTTCTTGCAATTAGGTGTACATAATACACAAAATATTTGCAATTTCTGATCTTAAGCTTCCTCATCAGCTAGCATAATAACATAAAATCGCGGTCGCTGTATTGGAGTGTAATAAACTGTGAATTTAAGCAGTTCAAAGGAGAATGAAGGCAATTTGTAAGGCTTTATTCGGAAAAAACTCCTACTTTACAAACATGGCGACCAGCAGCAAACACAATTAACCGCTGGCCATCTGCGGGCAATAAAACCAAAGGTAACCCAGTAAGCTATAATAACAGCATACTCTATATCTACAATGGTCAATGCTCATAATTTTATAGATCAGTACATGGAACTTTCTATTCAAATTGTTTGATGACATGCTATTGTATCACTTAAACTCCCAATGAGAAAAAAATCAGTTTCTCGGGAGAAAAGCCTCTATTGTCGTGCCTCCTGTCATGGCTGCCATCACGTAATGGTGCAAAGGCTCTATTAAGAAACTTTATTACATAATTTTTTTTATTAAACTGCAATCTTAAACCTCACTTCTTTAAGGTAGTTTGCAATGGTCTACTTGATTCATATCACTTTGACGAAAAGATATATATGACTTGTATCATGACAACAGCTACGAAAAAAGAAAACACTGAAAAGAAATAATAAAAATATCCGGACAAGTTATGCTAATATCTCATAAAGCCTCGATTAATACAATGAATACTCCTTTGCGGTTAATGAACAGCAAAACTGGTGTAATAGCGCAGCGCAACCGTGACGTCATAAAAACGAAGACAAAGGCGAAATTAGGAAAAACAAACTTACAAGCTTACTTACTTTGTGCTCGTCGTATCTCTTTGGGGTAAAAATCAGCGATTTGATATCTTTTAGGGTGTGAAAATTAAAATTTAGAATTTCGGCATTTCTTGGTATCTTTTTTAAGGGTATCTTTTATTAGGGCTAAAAAAATTGTCCAACCACGCTTTTTTTAAAGGAATTACGATATCTTCTACGGGATTTTTGAATATTTTCTTGGTATAGCGCATAATTACGTTTAATTTCCATGGTTTTACCATGCAATGTCTATTCTATTGTCAATCCTTAGAGTACCAAGTGCGAACGGGCCGATTTACTCTTTTGGAGCTCGTTCGTTAATATGGTAAGATTGTGGAATAAAATTCCTCTTTGCTTAACAAATGTGTCTAAGAGGAAGTTTAAAAAATTAAAGAGAACAGGAGATTGCTTTTTTTCATTACTTGAGAGTAAAGGATATTGTGTTGAAATCTCTGAGCTAATACGCCTTTCCCAAATTCGCTTGACTGACCACGAAACAATGGTTTGAAGTCGAGACTGAACTTGATTCTTTTATTTATCGAGTTCAGCCTCGACTTGAAACCATTGTTTCGTGACAACATTGGAAAAAATTGCCCATACATTTGGAATACTTGCTCTTTTCGGTCTTTTTCCTCTCTTACCAAAGCAAAAGGTTGTTCTTAAAAGTAAAGTTATATAGCACAAGTAAACTGCGTGACAAAACATCCTAAATGACCCGTAAATCTTCTATTCTTTCGCTAACCACCGTAGTAGCGTGTTTTCGAGGCTACGAAACCTAAGAAACCATAAGAGGCGAATGTGTAGCCAACAGAAAGTATGAGCTTATAAAATCAGCAAAAATACGATTCTAAATTTTAACAAATTCCTATGAATTATACACCAAAATGTTCAGGAAAGCCCGGGGTTTTCAAATCCACTTCTGTTTTTTTGACAGGTTCTGTTTTATTTCAAGGAGAGACGATTTTCTTTCTTGACCCCGGTTATGTCATGCATTTTCTCTTGTAAAATACGTCCAATAGCGTACATTCAACTCAAAAAGTACGGTGGTTTTTTTTTCAATAGAATTCAATCTAATACTCACTTTCTTTCTTTCAATATTTTTTATTTTTATTTTTATCAACACATATTTAAATGTTAACCCATAAGTTTGTAATATACCATTTGTTTGCGTGTACTGAATTATATTCATATTTATTATTACACCTGTAAAATATTATCTATTATAGTTGTTTGTATACGTATTGTATCATACTTGTAAATAATTTATCACTCAACCTGCCTGGATTAGTTTTTACTAATTGCATGTTGTTGGGTTTTCGTAAATTTAGTTATGGTAATTAGTAAAAATAAAAAGAATATAAAGTGTAAAGGATAATATGATCGGATATACCGTTACTGAAGCTGAAACAAGCTTGTACGACAACATTGGTTTCTTTAGTACAATAGAGATAATATTCATGTTTACTGCGTGCATCAAGGAAAATTAATTACAGAAAACAAGCGGTTATATTTGACAGGACAGTTCAACCTGGGTTAGAGGACTGGTAGAAAAGCAAACAAGTTGCGGCAGAAATGCTTTGGTCGAGAAATGAAAACAGCGAAAAACGACACAGACCCAGATTGCGAGATTCTTAACCGCTTTCTGCCTGGAGAAAAAAATAGACAGTGCAAAAAATACCAATGCTAAGGAAAACGTTTAACCTGAAGTAGAAGAAGATATTCAAGACGTAATGCGGGTAGAACGTATCGAATAGTACAGGAATTGAAAGAAATTGAAGATACCATTGGCCTACAACACCCAATCATATACACCTATTTCAAAAAACGTTGTTGGTTGGAGATCTGAAATCTGAGACCCAAAGGAATTGTAAGTTGTAGGCTGTAAATTGTTTGTGGTTTTAATAAGTTTTGGAAAAAAGTTAATATCTTGAAATACTAACTTTGAGCGATGACCTGCGCTGGCAAACTGTCTGGGTATCCTAATGGCTATCCCAATTTTCGATTGACCGACTGTATTGTATTAGCGCGATAAAATAACTAAAAAGCTACTCACATTGGATAGTGACTTCAAGAATCGAATAGTATTTTTGTTTTACTGCGAAAAAGATATGAGTAATCATAGCCAATAGATTGATTAATTAATTCAGACAAAAAAAAAGCAACAATAGCAACAAACGCAATAACAAATTTCAATTTTAACATCCTAAAAAAGATACCAAATTGCTTGTTTTTACCCCTAAGAGATACGACGAGCTAGCATTCAAGGTTAAGCTTTAATGCAATATTATATACTTTGGGCAAAAGAATTGTTCATAATGAGCATAGAAGTAGGCAGTAAAAGACCAACTGAATGAACGGCGTCTTGTGTCACGTAAAAGCATAAATTAGAACCTAGTTAATTTCTTAGAAACGCAATGTGCCGCACATTTTTTGCGTACATCGAATGAAAAGCTTCTTATTGCAAGGCGAAATGGTATTTTATGGCTGACTTAGGTGCCACAAGTGAGAATTTGGCAATATTTTAAATCCTATAATCTTAGCTTTTCATGACACGCTTTCAGTAATATCGATAAGTCGTAATTTTGTTTCGTAATCCTCTCTAATTCTCTCTCTCTCTCTCTCTTTTTTAATTTATTTTATTTTATTTTATTTATTTTTTAATTGCTGTTTCTAGTCACTAGAAGCACTAAACCAAAGCTTCTTTTATTTGCAGAAAAAAATCGATAAAACGGACTTTGAAAATAAGCCTCAACGACTTTGAAAATGTGCGTCTTTTGACTGACTTGGAGTGGATGGACGAAAATTCGTATAGCGGCTGAAAAAAATAAAAAAATTTCAAAGGAATCTAACTCTAATTTGGTAGTAAGGATAGGAGGTAGCTTTGATGGTAGAAATATAAAAGAAATCTACTTTTGGAGGCGAGACCCTGTGATACGAACTTACAGAGATTCCCTTTGAAGATATTTGTTGGATCTAAAGAACGCCTGCGTACCCTGCTAAAGACACATGCTGAGAAACGTAAATGCACTCGTTTTTATTACGCCTTTCTAATTAACTCTTGTATATATTCAAATTAAACAAAATACTGCAACAACTACAGTGATGTCATGATTCTCAAGTTTTATTTAACACTTTAATTGGATTCACAGTCATTTGAAGATATTTGTCTTCGTTTGAACACATTGCTAAGACAATTAGAGAAACATGAAGGCACTCGCTATTCTTTGTGTGCTTTCCTTATCTATATTTTCTAAACGAACGATCTCGTCCAAAGTTATATTCAATGCTTCCAAACAGCCTTATTATCGAACACCAGAGTTCGGCTATCTTAACTTCGTTTTTCACCCAAACAGTAAACTAGAAGTGGAAAACAAACAACAGTTTCATGCTCAGAACTACGAGCAATGTCTTGTTGCTTGTGCCAGTAACATGACTTGTTTCTCCATCAACTTTGGAAAACAACCCATCTTCTTTTACGATGGGAACCCTCAGTACCTCTGCGAGCTGTTGCCGACTGATAAATACAACTCTTCGTCCAAGTTTCAAAGTCCGAATCCAGAGTCTAACCACTACAGCATCAGGGTGAGTTTGAAATATTATTTTAAAAACTTGAAGATTTTCCAATTTTGTGTTTCCTCTTTCGTTCCACTATCTTTTATTTTTCTACTGGACTTAAAGATGGTTCGATGTGGTTTTCTGGCGCTTCACCTTTCAAATTCAAATCGCAAATACGCGGACGCAAACTATTAATTGGACAAAAAAACTGTTGGAGAGAGAAAGATGAAATGGGCATGTTTTCATAGAAATCGGAATTAATGTAAAACACCTGTTAAGTGTTGATACGTTTACATTCGACCAAGCTTTGCGTTCCTATCAAGGTTCAAAAATTCTGAATTCTGTGATTATTTCAAAAAAGCGATTTTTGAATTTTGAAATTATTTTCTAAATTTTTTGAAACTGTTTCAAAAAACTGAAATTGCATGATTTCGGAATTTCGGAATTACTTTATAGGGCGTATTATATTACACGGTGGCGCGAAGATATGAAGTTTATCTTTGAATGGTGAAAATATTTCACGGGTGAGCTCAGCGAACGAGTGAAATATCTTTCAACACGAGAAGATAATAGTAAATGAAGTTTTGATCTCAAGAAGAAACAAATGGAAAGTAAATTCGTTCAAATTTGAAATCATGAGCATTTACTAAGATTTACATTTGATAAAGTACTTGAAGCCGATTTTAAAGCATAGAAACTCGGACGAATACTATATGTAAACACAGGTTTTGGGACCCAAGCAAGGAAGGAGGGAAGGGGAAAGGGTTTTTTGGTGCAAGAGTAAAACTATGGTAAAAATTTTAAGTACTTATGGGTGATTATAAATTAAAGTAGGAGTGTTTGGAGATAAATGAATTAATATAAGTATGAGGGATTGGAGGAAATAAAAGAGAACGGTAATAACGATAATAGTAATAAAAATAATAGAGGAAATTATTGAAATTGTATTCAGTTGAAGAATTCATTTGAAGGTAACAAAGAAAGATGACAAGGTATAAGGGGAATGTGTAGTATTTTGTGAGGGTATAGGGGCGGTATCAGATACAATCTTAGGGAAAAAAATTCACTTGTAAGTTTGTATGATGAGCTCATGTATAGTTAGAACCTAAGATGTATGAGTGGTAGACCTGAAGCTTGCATCAATCGTCAGGGGTGAAGATGGAAGATAGTGCTGAGAATCGAAGTGTTTCAAGATTCGGCTTACGCCCAAAAGCTTCACCCTACACGTGGCGCCAGGTCAACGTTTCTACCATTAAACGATGCGGTTGCGGTAAAGTAAAGTAAAGTAAATCGACGAAAAATTATTTTAAAAAATATAAAGCGTAGATTTCAAGTAACCCGCTTTAAAGAAATGCTAATATCTTAATTTTATGCTAATAACACCGAATTCTGTTCCTGAAACGAGAGTTTACTGAAGACGTATACAAGGCGACTAGAGCTTTAGAAATCTTTATTGGTTTTGCACGCTAGCTCTTGGCAACCAAAATAGGCCCAACAGATGGCCCGATGGGTGAGTTTCCATTCCCCATCAGTTGGGGGTCTCTATACATTCAGATTTCGTAAATGCCCATGGTAACGCAAGGTTAAAAGAATAATACTACTTTGAGATTTCATCTTTCTTTTCTAATTGGTCGGTATAATACGGAAGCCCTGGAGGGACATTCATACTTCGCACTTCGCACTTCTTATTTCACATATGTAAGGAACACTTAATAAAGTGAAAATTATTTCATTATAGGAATATCCTTGATTAAAATAGTTGACAATCAAGTCATCTCTTCCAATTTCTTCTCTTTGATA